CTGGGAGGTGGAGGCTGCAGTGAGCCAAGATGGTGCCACTGCACTCCAACCTGGGCAACAGAGTGAGACTCTGTCTCAAAAAACAAACAAACAAACAAAAGGCAGTGGGGGGAAGTCCAGCACAACCGTGATGACTTCCTGTTTGTTAGAATGTAAATTCCGTGAGGGAAGACACCTATCTGTCATGTTCATCATTATAAAACCAGGACCCAGAGGGATGCACATTTCCCATAAATTCATTCGCAGTTCAAGTTATTTCTTGAACCTGTATGATGTGTCCAACAGCGCCCGCCCCGCCCCGCGCTGCCCCACCCCATGCCCTGGTGGTTCAGCAGCAGATGAGGCCTCCATGGTTGCTGAACTTAGGGAGGCATGAAGGTCAAATCCACCTGTTGAATGTATCATTAGTATCTACAGATGTCTTCATCTGTTGCAGATGCTGTGATCTATAAAGCACTGTGAACCAGGCGGCTTATAAACAACAGAAATTTATTTCTCACAGTCCTGGAGGCTGGAAGTCCAAAATCAGGGTACTAATGTGGTCAAGTTCTAATGAGGGCCCTCTTCTGGCTTGCAGATGGTCAGCCTCTCCTTGTGGTCCTCATTATGGAGCAGAGAGCAGCAGGTTTTCTTATGACTCTTACTTATTGATTGAGATAGACTCTTGCTCTGTCACTCAGGCTGGAGTGCAATGGCTTGATCATGGCTCACTGCAGCCTCAACCTTCCAGGCTCCAATGGTCCTCCCACCTCAGAAATAGCTGGGAATACAGACACTGACACCTGCCACCGTGCCCAGATAATTTTTTTTTTTTTAAGATGGGGTTTTACCATATTGGTCAGTCAGGTCTCAAACTCCCAACCTCAGGTGATCTGCCTGCCTCGGCCTCCCAAAGTGCTGGGATTACAGGCGTGAGCCACCACGCCCAGCCTGCCCAGCTACTTTAAAAAAAATTTTTTTAAGAGATGGGATTTCACTATGTTGCCAGGGCTGGGTCTGGAACTCCTAGGCTCAAGAGATCATCTTTCTGGCTTTAGCCTCCCAAAGTGCTGTCATTTCATGCGTGAGCCACCATGCCTGGCCTCTCTTGACTTTTTTTGTTTTTTTCCTTTTATTTGAAATGGAGTTTCACTCTTGTTGTCCAGGCTGGAGTGCAATGGCACAGTCTCAGCTCACCACAACCTCCACCTCCTGAGTAGCTGGGACTACAGGCATGCACCACCACATGTGGCTAATTTTGTATTTTTAGTAGAGACGGTCCCTGGTAGTCTAGTGGCTAAAAACAAAACAAAACAAAAAGAGACAGGATTTCTCCATGTTCATGAGGCTGGTCTCGAACTTCCAACCTCAGGTGATTCATCCACCTGGGATTACAGGCATGAGCCATCGCTCCTGACCCTCTCTAGACTTTTATAAGGGCTCTAATCCCATTTGTGAGGCATCTATGCTCGTAACCTAATCACCTCCCAAAGGCCCCACCTCCTAATACCATCACAAGTGGGGATGGGTAGTATTTGAATGTATGAATTTTAGAGAGACACAAACATTCTGTCTACAGCAGACACTCTTTCTCTTCCCTGCCAAAAACAGACAAAACTGGTGATTTCGTTTGCTTAGTCTTTTGATTTGACTAATAAGAAATCACATTTCGTGAGCTTGTTATCTCATGTCAACAGACTGGAATTTTCTCTTGATTGGAGTAAGTTGTATTGGGGAGTCATTGGTTTTAGCTCTGGTTGTGAGAGCAAAGTAGCTGTACCTTACAGCTTGATCATAAAGTCGTTCTCAGCAAAACGAAAACTCGTTGTTAAAGACAGAACCAATATGATGAAAGCGGTGTTCACAGCAGAAGACACCCAAGTTCTGACTCCGGGGTGTGGCCTTAGAAGACTATGAAGATATTAGCTTAAAAATTATAAAGGCTATAAATGAGTAATACAAGATGCAAGGATTTGATTAATACACATTAATCCTGGGTGTTTCATTTTCATGAACTTATTTTAAGAACTAAACCCGACCTTTTTTTTTTTTGAGACGGTGTTTCACTCTCATCGTCCAGGCTAGAGTATAATGGTGCAATCTCGGCTCACTGCATCCTCCGCCTCCCAGGTTCAAGCAATTCTCCTGCCTCAGCCTCCCAAGTAGCTGGGATTACAGGCACCTGCCACTACGCCCAGCTAATTTTTTCTATTTTTAGTAGAGATGGGGTTTCACCTTGGATGAAACCCAAGATGGTCTCCATCTCCTGACCTTGTGATTCACCCGTTTTGGCCTCCCAAAGTGCTGGGATTACAGGCACGAGCCATTGTGCCCAGCCTATTTATTATTTTTGAGACAACGTCTCACTCTGTCGCCCAGGCTGGAGGGCACTGGTGTGATCATGGCTTACTGCAGCCTCCACTTCACCAGCTCAGTGATCCTCCCCTCTTAGCCTCCTGAGTAGCTGGGACTACAGGAGCAAGCTACCAAGCCCCGCTAATTAAAAAAAACTTTTTTTAGAGGTAGGGTCTCACTATGTTGCCCAGGCTGGTCTCAAACACCCAGGCTCAAGTGATCCACCTGCCTCAGCCTCCCAGAGTGTTGGGATTACAAGTGTGAGCCACCGTGCCCAGCCTGGAAATAAAATCTTAATACATGCGACAATGGGGATGAAGCTTGAGGACATGATGCTCAGTAAGGTACACAAAACAACAAAGTCTGTATGATTTCACTTCTATGAGACACCTAGAATCATCAATTTCATAGAGACAGAAGGTAGAATGGTGGGTGCCAGGGGCTAGGGATGGGGAATCAGGACTAAGTGTTTAATGGGTTTCAGTTTGGGAAACTGGAAGTGTTTTGGAGATGGATTGTGGTGATAATGGCAAAACAATGTGAATGTAATGACATAGAACTACACACTTAAAAATGTTTAAATGGGCTGGGCGTGGTGGCTCATGTCTGTACTCCCCGCACTTTGGGAGGCTGAGGCAGGTGGGTCACCTGAGGTCGGGAGTTCGAGACCAGCCTGAGCAATGAGGAGAAACCCCATCTCTACTAAAAATACAAAATTAGCCGGATGTGGTGGTACATACCTGTGATCCCAGCTACTCGGGAAGCTGAGGCAGGAGAATTGCTTGAACCTGGGAGGCGGAGTTGCAGTGAGCTGAGATCATGCCATTGCACTCTAGCCTGGGTGACAAGAGTGAAACTCCATCTCAAAAAAATAAATAAATAAATAAAAAGTTTAAAATGGGCTGGGCATGATGTCTCACATCTATAATCCCAGCACTTTTGGAGGCCAAGGCTGGTGGATGGCTTGAGCCCGGGAATTTGAGGCCAGCCTAGGCAACATGGTGAAACCCTGTGCCTCTTTTAAAAATACAGAATATTAGCCTGGCATTTGGTGTGCGTCCCTGTAGTCCCAAATGCTTTCGAGGCTGAGGTGGGAGGGGTGTTTGAGCCTAGGAAGTCAAGGCTGCAGTGAGTTGTGATTGTACCACTGCACTCCAGCCTGGCTGATGGGAATGAAACCCTGTCTAAAAACAAATTAAAAAAAAAGTAAAATGGCAAATTTATTTGTATTATTTATTGATTGATTTATTTATTTTTGAGACAGAGTCTTGCTCTGTTGCCCAGGCTAGAGCTCTGTGGTGTTCGGCTCACTGCAGCCTCTGCCTCCTGGGTTCAAATGATTCTCCTGCCTTAGCCTCCTGAATAGCTGGGACTACAGGCACGCACCACCACACCCGGCTAATTTTTGTATTTAGTAGAAATGGAGTTTCACCTTGTTGGCCAGGATGGTCTCAATCTCCTGACTTTGTGATCCACCCACCTTGGCCTCCCAAAGTGCTGGAATTACAGGCATGAGACACTGCGCCCAGCATAAAATGGTAAATATAATGTATATTTTACAATAATAAAAGATTTTAAAAAGTTTTTTTTAAGACAGCAGGTATAAGAATATCAGCATAAGGCTGGGCGCGATGGCTCATGCCTATAATCCCAGCACTTTGAGAGGCTGAGGCAAACATGGTGAAACTCCTTCTCTACTAAAAATACAGTAATTAGCCAGGCATGGTGGCGGGCACCTGTAATCCCAGCTGCTCGGGAGTCTGAGGCAGAAGAATCGCTTGAACCCAGGAGACAGAGGTTGCAGTGAGCCAAAATTGCACCACTGCACTCCAGTCTGGGCAACAGAGTGAGACTCTGTCTCAAACAAAATTAAAAAAAAAAAGAATACCAGCATAAACTTATAGGGATCTTGGGATCAGCTGAGGTCAGAGAAGCAATTTATTTTATTTCTTTGTGTGTGTGTATGTGTGTTTGTGTGTGTGTGTGATTTTAGATGGAGTCTTGCTCTGTCACCCAGGGTAGAGTGCAGTGGTACAATCTCAGCTCCCTGCAGCCTCCACCTCCAGGGTTCAAGTGATTCTCCTGCCTCAGCTTCTCGAGTAGCTGGGATTAAAAGCGTGCACCACTGTTCCCAGCTAATTTTTGTATTTTTAGAGATGGGGGGGTTTCACCATGTTATCCAGGCTGGTCTTGAACTCCTGACCTTAAGTGATCTGCTCACCTTGGTCTCCAAAAGTACTGGGATTACAGTTGTGAGCCACCACACCCAGCCCAGAGTCGAAATTTCAATGCATTCCCAGCAACAAGCTGGCCCATCTCTCCACGCCTCAGTCTCCTCATGACAATAAGGAGACTTCTGTACTTATAAAAGCCATCACTTGGCTGGGGCACTGATGAGGATTTAATGAGTCCTAAATGTGAGCCAGTGTCATCATCACTGCCACCTCTCTGGGTGTGGAGGAAAGGACTCCCACTCGGCTCTGTGTTTTCTCTGTGAAACCTCAGGCATGCACACAGCCTCTCTGAACCTTGGTTCCCCCTCTGAAACTTATGAACTGCAGTGTTAGGTGGGCGCTCTGGATTAGGATAGGCTGACCGGAGTGTATGGGAGTAAAGCCTGCCCTTGGCACGCTGGTGATGCTGGGGGACACTCCCGTGCCTCCCAGGAGCGGTCGAGCTGTCCCGGCGCCACCCGATGGCATCCTGGCTGTGTGCCATGCTGCATTGCTTCGGGAGCTACATCCTGGCTGACCTGCTCCTCGGGGAGCCGCTGATCGATTACTTCAGCAACAACTCCAGCATCCTGCTGGCCTCAGCTGTCTGGTAAGCCACACTGGGCACGGGAGAGCAGAGCCAGGTGCAGGAAGGAACAATCTGGGCACCAGGGAGGTGACAGGTTGGAGGCATTGGGATGCACCAGCAACAGCCTTCATTGTGACCCTGAACCCACACTGGTCTAGGCTCAGCACGCTGTGGGTGGTGGTGTCTGACACAGCCACAGCTCCCTACCCCCATCCTTCATGGTCTGCTTGTCCCCTGGCACTCAGCATTCTCTCCCCAAAAGGTACTTGATTTTCTTCTGCCCCCTGGACCTCTTCTACAAGTGTGTCTGCTTCTTGCCTGTGAAACTCATCTTCGTGGCCATGAAGGAGGTGGTGCGAGTCCGCAAGATCGCGGTGGGCATCCATCACGCCCATCACCACTACCACCATGGATGGTTCGTCATGATTGCGACTGGGTGGGTCAAAGGTAAATAGGATGATGACAGTGAAAAACCACCCCAGTGGAGAACTGTTGGTCCAGTGGTACTCCCAGGCACCCCCGGCTGGGAAAACCATTGCTCCAAGCAAAGGGGTGTAAATGTTGGACTAGGTGTCCCAACCTCCCAATACTTTTAGGGTAAGTGGGAAGGTTCTTCCAGAAATGTTACTGTCAGGGGTACCTAGGACAGTGATGACAACGACAAGAGTCAATATTGCCGGAGCCGGGCTTCTCACTTGCAGCACTACTGACGTGTGGGGCTGAGTCATTTTTTTTTTTTTTTTGAGACAGAGTTTCGCTGTTGTTACCCAGACTGGAGTGCAATGGCACGATCTCGGCTCACCGCAACCTCCGCCTTCTGGGTTCAAGCAATTCTCCTGCCTCAGCCTCCTGAGTAGCTGGGATTACAGGCGCGCACCACCATGCCCAGCTAATTTTTGTATTTTTAGTAGAGACGGGGTTTCACCATGTTGACCAGGATGGTCTTGGTCTCTTGACCTCGTGATCCACCCTCCTCGGCCTCCCAGAGTGCTGGGATTATAGGCATGAGCCACTGCGCCCGGCCTGGGGCTGAGTCATTCTTTGTGGTGGGGGCTACCCTGTGGATTGTAAGATGTCAAACAGCACCCCTGGTCTCCACCCACGACAAGATGCCAGTAGCACATTTGTCCCCAGCTGCAACAAAAGAAATTGTCTCCAAGGCTGGGCCCGGTGACTCACGCCTGTAATTCCAGCACTTTGGGAGGCCGAGGTGGGTGAATCACAAGGTCAGGAGTTTAAGACCAGTCTGTCCAAGATGGTGAAACCCTGTCTCTACTAAAAATACAAAAATTAGCCGGGCGCTGTGGCATACACCTGTAGTCCCAGCTACTTGGGAGGCTGAGGCAGGAGAATTGATTGAACCTGGGAGGCAGAGGTTGCAGTGAGCCGAGATCACGCCATTGCACTCCAGCCTGGGCAACAGAGTGAGACTCCCTCTCAAAAAAAAAAAAAAAAAGAAAAGAAAAGAAATTGTCTCCAGACATTACCAAACACCTCCTAGGGAGCAAAGTTGCTGTGGGTAAGAAACCCTTCTTCTCTAGAGCTCTAGCTATAGGAGTTCTTAACTTTGGTGGACCATAGCCCTTTTGTCAGCCCAGTGAAGCCTACAGACCCTTTCATGTGCAGAAGATAGAGCTGGACATGGTGGCTTAATACCTGTAGTCCGAGCTACTCAGGAGGCTGAGGTGTGGCAAGTACTAGAGCCAAAAAAAGGAGGCTGAGGAGGGATCACTTGAACCTAGGAGCTGAGGGTTACGGTGAGCTGTGATTGTGCCATTGCACTCCAGGTCGGCAACAGAGCAAGAGCCTGTCTCTAAAAAATTAAAATTAAAGAATAAAGTAGTAATGAAAATGTTATTAGAAATAAAGAACATTTTGGCCAGGTGTGGTGGCTCAAGCATGTAGTCCCAGCACTTTGGGAAGCTGAGGCAGATGGATCATGAGGTCAGGAGTTTGAGAGTAGCCTGACCAACATGGTGAAACTCTGTCGCTACTAAAAATACAAAAATTAGCTGGGCATGGTGGCGCGTGCCTATAATCCCAGCTACTCAGGAGGCTGAGGCAGGAGAATCGCTTGAACCTGGGAGGCAGAGGTTGTAGTGAGCCGAGAGCATGCCATTGCACTCTAGCTTGGGTGACGGAGTGAGACTCCGTCTCAAAAAAAATAAATAAAGAACGTTTTGGCCAGGCATGGTGGCTCATGCCTATAATCCCAGCACTTTGGGAGGCTGAGGCAGGTGGATCACAAGGTCAAGAGATGGAGACCATCCTGGTCAACATGGTGAAACCCCATCTCTACTAAAAATACAAAAAATTAGCTGGGCACAGTGGTGCGTGCCTGTAGTCCCAGCTACTCGGGAGGCTGAGGCAGGAGAATTGCCTGAACCCAGGAGGCGGAGGTTGCGGTGAGCCGAGGTCGCACCATTGCACTCCAGCCTGGGTAACAAGAGCGAAACTCCGTCTCAAAAAATAAATAAATAAATAAATAAATAACGTTTTATAATGTTAAAAGAGCCAATATACTAGGAAGATATAGCACCTATAAACATATATGCACCTAGAAACAGAGCACCAAAATACATAAAAAGAGATAATTCAACATTAAAAGTTGGAGAAATGGGCCAAGGAGTAACAGGAAAGCAGGTAAAGAAGGCCTGAGCAAGTGCCAAAAACCACGGGGCACTTTATCCTCGCTTCCTGCCTACAAGATATGGGTACCCACAAAGTGCCGAGATACAGACTCACCATCCATTGAGCCATGGTGTCCTCAGTTACTTCTTGCTGTGGGGGTCAACCTGTGCATTATACAGTGGTGAGCCACCTCCCTGGCCTTCACCCACTGAATGCCAGTAGTGCTCCCTCCCCAATTGTGACAACTCAAAGTGTTTCTCAACATTGCCAGATGCTTCCTTGGAAGCAAAATGGCCCCAGATGCGATTCCCTGGTCCAGTAGTACATATCAGCCACCCCAGTTGGTGTAGCAGTTCCTGGAGTGGATGTCCAAGTCTCTTTAACCAATACATTTAGGGTATATGGGAAGATTCTTCCAGAAATTTAACCGTTCTATCCCCATTTGAGTCTCCTTATTGTCTCTCCAGGAACCTTTTACTACTGAGCACATTCCCCAGGGATATAGTATCTCCCAGGGATATAGTATCTCTCCTAGATTATGGATGGTTTGAGAAAGATTTAGAACTTGGAGTCTTGAGGAGGAGACTGTGGTGGGGGCTGCCTTGGAAGCCTCATGTATAGCTTGGGGTCTTGGATTAGGGGCATCAAGACAGGCAACCCCAGGTTAAAGACCTGCCTTGCTGGTGGGGACATGACTGATTCCTTCAGGTGGTTTTTGCTCTGAATTTGCCATGTGACCCTCAGCAAGGCTTTGTCCTCTCTGAGCCTCAGTTTCCCCACCTGCAGCTGATGATCATACACCCCCAGGCTCAGAGAAGACTTTGGGAGTGGAGAGACTGCTTCCTTGGGAATTCAACCAAGAGGAAAAGGAGGCCTGGGGTGGTGAGCTTATTCAGAAGCCCCCTGTCCTTTAGGTTCTGGTGTTGCCCTCATGTCCAACTTTGAGCAGCTGCTCCGAGGGGTCTGGAAGCCAGAGACCAATGAGATCCTGCATATGTCTTTGTGAGTATCCCAGCCCACCTCTTCCTTCATCCTTCATGTATGTCTGGGTGCCTGACCCTGAGTTGGATGCTACTGATAACTTAGAGAGACCTCAGCCCTTGTCTTTGCCTTTCAGAGTAGATGGGGAAGCTCAAAGCAGAGCCATAGCTCTGCTCTGTGTGGAGGTTGGGGAGGGCGGAGCTGCAGCAGGAGGCTATACCTGATTGGGGTTTTGAAGGGTGAGCAGGAGTTCGCTGGCCAAGGAGGAGCCTCCCAACAGAGGCCAGCATCTCTGCCAACTGTCAAATCGGAAGAGCAGCAATGCTGCCGGGTGTGTGGGGTCAGGGCACAGAGCATGGGGTATGCAGTGTGCATTGGGAGCATATCTGGAGGTAAGTGGGCAAGGCCATGTGGCAGCATCCAAGACCCAATGCAGGATTGCACCTTGCATTTAGCGTAATGTTTTTTTTTTTTTTTTGAGACAGAGTCTCATTCTGTTGCCAGGCACCAGGCGGGAGTGCAGTGGCACAATCTCGGCTCACTGCAACCTCCACCTCCCAGGTTCAAGCAATTCTCCTGCCTTAGCCTCCAAGTAGCTGGGACTCCAGGTGCACGCCACCACGCCCAGCTAATTTTTGTACTTTTAGTAGAGATGGGGTTTTACCATGTTGGCCAGGATGGTCTTGATCTCTTGACCTTGTGATCCGCCTGCCTCGGCCTCCCAAAGTGCTGGGATTACAGGCGTGAGCCACCGTGCCTGGCCATGAGACCCTGTCTCTAAAAAATAAATAAGTAAAATGAAATCAGCCACGCCTGTAACCCCAACACTTTGGGAGGCTAAGGCGGGTGGATCACTTGAGGTCAGGAGTTGGAAACAAGCCTGGCCAACATGGCGAAACCCCATCTCTACTAAAAATACAAAAATTAGCCGGGCTTGGTAGTGGGTGCCTGTAATCCCAGCTACTCAGGAGACTGAGGCAGAAGAATTGCTGGAACCCGGGAGGCGGAGGTTGCAGTGAGCTGAGATTGCACCACTGCACTCCAGCCTGGGTGACAGAGCAAGACTCCGACACATACACAAACAGGAAATCAGCAGGATCAAATGCGCATGGGGCAGACTACAGGACAGAAAACGTGCAAACGTCCAGTTTTTCTCTCCCGGTGCAATCACCTGGACAGGGCTTAGTTCTCCCAGCAGCAACATGTGACAACATACATGGCATACTGCCAACCAGGGAAGCTCTTCTGAGCCTGGGTATCCAGGGTGTTTGTGGAGGCTCAGACCTAGCTAACCACCTGTGTGGCTGACCTCAGTCTTCAGGCCCTCTAGAGGTCCAGCTGAGGCTGCAGGGCCCAGGACCCCCACGATAAATTACGTTGTTACTACCTGATGTGACCCAAGGCTCCCAGGCAAACAAAGACAGTCTTATCAGGTGGGACACCCCAAGGGTTTAGAGGGCATATTCCAGGAGCTGGACAGAGGCCATCCCTTTCCTTGGGCTAGGTTAAGCCATCATGCATAGGGTGACACCACCTCATCCTCCCACCTATGATCAGGAGAAGCTGTGGTCAGGCACAGTAGCTCACGCCTATAATCCCAGCACTTTGCGGGGCCAAGAGGATCACTTGAGGTCAGGAGTTCAAGACCAGCTAGGCCAACATAGTCAAAACCCCATCTCTACTAAAAATACAAAAATTAGCCAGTCATGGTGGTGCATGCTGGTAATCCCAGCTACTCAGGAGGCTGAGGTGGGAGAAATACTTGAACCCGGGAGGCCGAGGTGGCAGGGAGCCAAGATCGCGCCACTGCACTCCAGCCTGGGTGACAGCGAGACTCCATCTCAAAAGAAAGAGAAAAGGGAGAAGCTGGGATGGGAGCTGGTGCCAGGGCAGGGGGGTATGGACCAGAGTTACGAAGACCTGAGCCATGCAGGCACCTGCCAGTAATAACAACCGCTCCCTCCAGCCCCACCAAGGCCAGCCTGTACGGAGCCATCCTCTTCACCCTCCAGCAGACCCGCTGGCTCCCAGTGTCCAAAGCCACCCTCATCTTCATCTTCACCATGTTCATGGTGTCCTGTAAGGTAAGCCTTTTTCTTCCTGCTGCCTTATTGCCTTGACCAATGCCTGCCCCCCGCCACCTCCAGGCTGGGGGTAGGGAAACTGGATAACACTAGCCTTATGTGGCTGGGACAGGGCAGCCCAGAGAGGGACATGCTTAACAGTAGCTTGCTGGGAAGAGGGTCTTTAAAAGGCAGCATCCAGCAGCCAGGACACAGGTGAGAGGAACAGGCCTTCTGTGCAAAGGGCTCAGCCTTAACAAAGGTCAAGGTGGGCCCAGTCCCTTGGGTACAGAGACCAGAGGGACAAAAAGCTGAAAGGGCAGCATCAGGTAGCCAGGAACTCAGTTGGACCAGGAATAGTTCTAGTCTGACAGTCATGCCTTGAGTTGACACCACCCCACCCAGGAGGGGTCATCAGGGGCTGGGCTCTCTCCCTCTGCGTGAAGACGCCAGCTCAGGACTGTGTCTTCCCTGGGCAAGGACTCTAAGGCTGTCAAAAGGGAGTGAGCCTGCGTCTCCCTGCATTAGGGAAAAAGGGAGAGGCAAGCAGATCACTTGAGGCCAGGAGTTCAAGACCAGCCTGGGCAACATGGTGAAACCCTGTCTTTCCTAAAAATACAAAAATTAGCCAGGCATGGTGGCACATGCCTGTAATCCCAGCTACTCAGGAGGGTGAGGCAGGAGAATCACTTGAACCCAGGAGGTGGAGGTTGCAGTGAGCTAAGATTGCACCACTGCACTCCAGCCTAGGCAACAGAGTGAGACTCTGTCTCGAAAACAAACAGGCAAACAAAATACAAATACAAAAATTAACCAGGTACGGATGGTGCATGCCTGTAATCCCAGCTACTTGGGTGGCTGAGGCACGAGAATTGCTTGAACCCAGGAGGCAGAGGCTGCAGTGAGCCGAGATCAGGCCATTGCACTCCAGTTTGGGCAACAGAGGGAGACTCTGTCTTCAAAAAAAAAAAAAAAAAAACAACGAAAGAAATGTATTTCTTACAGTTCTGGAGGCTGGGAAGTCCAAGATCGGGGTGCCAGCCTGGTCAGGTTCTGATGAGGGCCCTCTTTCCTGGTTGCAGACCAGCAACATCTTACTGTGTCCTCACATGTGGAAGGGACTGGTTAGCTCTCCTGGACCTCTTTGTAAGGGCACTAATCTCATTCTCGAAGGCCCCACCCTCATGATCTAATCACCCCTCCAAAGGCCTCACCTCGTAATACCATGACCTTGGTGATAGCTTTCAACACATGAATTTGGGAGGACACAGACCTTCAGACTAGCACTTAGCCTGGCTTTCCTCTGAGCCCAGGAGTAGTGGGGAATTCTGGGGGATGGGTGACCAGCAGTCCCAGTGTGCTTGGAACTTTCCAGGGGTCAACATTGAAGTCTGGCATCCTGGGAAACCCGGGATGGTCGTCCATTGTCCTGGGGGTGCATGCAGCAAGAGGGCTGGGTCTGGGCTACCTCCAACCTTGACTTTGCTCACGTTCTCTCCCCTCTTCTCCCCACTCTGCCATCCTCTGTTTGCTTTCTTCCTTGGTCTCCCTCTGTCTCTCTGGCTGTCCCGCTTGCCACCTCACCTCAGGTGTTCCTGACCGCCACCCACTCACACAGCTCCCCCTTTGATGCGCTAGAGGGCTACATCTGCCCGGTGCTATTTGGTGCAGCCTGCGGGGCTGATCATCACCAGGACAACCACGGTGGGTCCCACGGCAGTGGTGGGCCAGGACCCCAGCATTCGGCCATGCCCGCCAAGTCCAAGGAGGAGTTGAGCGAGGGCTCCAGGAAGAAGAAGACCAAGAAAGCAGATTAGGGGGTGGCCCAAGGAGCAGCAGGGACAGAACCCGGACCCAGGACCCTCTGAGGTGGGGAGCTTCCTGTGCTCACATCTATCCTTTCCTGGCCTTGAATTGTCCATCTGCAAATCAGGGTCCTTGGCTCACCCTCCAGGGCTAACGTGGGGGTTGAGATATGAAGATGAGGATGAAGAACTTTTGTAGAAATCGGGGTTCCCTCTCTCTGTCTGCCAGGACCCCAGAGAGTCACAGCTTTTGGAGGGGAATCCTGGCAGCAGCTCTACGCAGAAAGCCTGATCGGCAGTGATATTCTTAGTTCTATTTTTCCTTCTTTAAAATTGCATCTTGGCTGGGCGCGGTGACTCATGCCTGTAATCATAGCTCTTTGGGAAGCTGAGGCGGGTAGATCACCTGAGGTCAGGAGTTCAAGACCAGCCTGGCCAACATGGTGAAACCCCATCTCTACTAAAAATACAAAAATTAGCCAGACATGGTGGTTCATGCCTGTAATCCCAGCTACTTGGGATGCTGAGGCAGGAGAATCGCTTGAATCCGGGAGGTGGAGGTTGCAGTGAGCTGAGATTGCACCACTGCACACCAGCCTGAATGATGGAACGAGACCCTGTCTCAAAAAAAAAAGCATCTTAACTCCTGAAGAACTTCAAGCCATGTTGAGATTCATTCATTTGATAGACATTTTCTAAGTACCTGTGAGCCAGGTGTTGCCATTTCAAAGTCTCTTCTTTACCCAAGCTCCTCGGTGGCTGAACCTTGCATGCCCAGCAGTCCCGACTCTTGCTGGGCGTCCCTGGGCAAGTTGCCTTCCTTCTCTGAGCTTTGCGCTCCCCATCTGTATAGTGGAGACCCTTGGCCCCCCCTCTGTACGGAAGGGCTGACGTGAAGCTGCAGCTGAAAAACGCTCACATGCTCCTAAGCCTTGTGCAGTCAGTAGGGGAGACCAGGACAGTTGGAAATTATGATTGCAAATGGCTTTGCATTTTAGATCATTCGTGTGTGTGGATCAGAGAAACTGACAAGTTCCCTGGCACAAAGGAAGCCCTCCATAGACAACCCTAGGGCAGGCTTGAGAGATCAGATGGTGTGAAAGGCTTGTGATCTTTTCATCTCAGGCGCCCCCAAACCAAGAAATGGAGCCAGCTGGGTGGGGTTCCATGATCCAGCTCTATCAAGCGGCTCTGAGTGTGCACAGCTGGGACTGGAAGTATCAGGTCTCCCTCAGGCCAGAGTCCATTGTCACTCATTCAGTCATTCAACAAACATACAGATGCTTACCTGCTCTGTGCTCAGCCTTGGGCTGCTGCTGGGTGGGCCAGGAACCTGCTTCGGGGTGAGCGAGGTGGATAATATGATAGCTGAAGGGTCCTTTCTGACCATGTCAGCCTAGGTCACCAGGATGTCTGAGAGGGTTGGGTGCATGGGATGGGCATGGGCAGTCTCGGGTGAGGTTTGGGCTCAGACCAAGTCGGAGTCCCAGATGTTGCCAGGCTGTTGGAAAAGTGCCTTGTCCCTGTGATGCCTGGGAGTTGGGTGGGTCCTGGGGAGGTGAGGCCCCAGTTTCATCCTCTTGCTTGTCCACCACAGCTCGGTGTGGAGGGGCAGCCAATAAAATCATTGTGAATGAACCCTCATGGCTTGTCTGCTTTATGTCTGGGATTTTTGTTTTGTTTTGAGACAGAGTCTCCCATCCAAGTGCTCACCAGTTCTGACCCTGCTTAGCTTCCAGGATCAGACAAAATCAGGTGCACTCAGGGTGGTATGGCTGTAGACAAGACAAGAGTCTCAAAGCAGAGGACTGCTTTGCAGAAGGAAGCAAAGCAGGGGATGGCAGGGTGGGGAGAACAGGAGAGAGAATGACCATCAACAAAGTCAAGGTTGGAGGTAGCCCAGACCCAGCCCTCCAGTCGCCCAGGCTGGAGTGCAGCAACACGACCTTGGCTCACTGCAACCTGTGCCTCCAAAGTTCAAGCGATTCTCCTGCCTCAGCCTCCTGAGTAGCTGGGATTACAGGTACCTGCCACCATGCCCAGCTAATTTTTGTATTTTTAGTAGAGGCGGGGTTTCACAATGTTGGCCAGGCTGGTCTCAAACTCGTGACCTCAAATGTTCCACCCACCTCGGCCTCCCAAAGGGTGGGAATTATAGGCATGAGCCACTGCGCTAGCCACATGCCAGGGATTGGCCTCAAGATATGGGGACAGCCAGTCCCAGTGGCTCAGGCCTGTAATCCCACCCAACACTCTGGGAATCAGAGGGAAGTGGATCACCTGAGGTCAGGAGTTCGAGACCAGGTTGGCCAACAGGATGAAACCTTGTCTCTACTAAAAATACAAAAAGTTGGCTGGGCGTGTGGTGTACACCTGTAATCCCAGCTACTCGGGAGGCTGATGCAGGAACGATCCTTCCACTTCAGCCCCCCAAGTAGCTGGGACTACAGGTGCATGCCACCATGTCTGGCTATTTTTTGTATTTTGTAGAGTTGGGGCCGAGCTATGTTGCCCAGACTGGCCCTGAACTCCGGCTTCCCACAGTGCTGGAATTACAGGCATGAGCCACCATGCCGAGTCAGTTACACATCTTCAGCCATGAGAAGAATGCAAAGCAAAAGCACAATGAGCCGTCACTTCACGTCCAACAAAATGGCTAAAATTAAAATGTCAGCATGGTCATTTTAGTGCTGGCGGGGATGTGGAGCAATAGGAATTCTCATATACTTTGGTAGGAAGGCTTAAAAGGTGCAACCACTTTGGAAGACAATTGGCAGGTTTTATTTTAAGTTAAACAGGGGTGGTGTATGGTGGCTCACGCCTGTAATTCAAGCACTTTGGGAGGGTGAGGTGGGCAGATTGCTTGCGGTCAGGAGTTTGAGACCAGCCTGGCCAACATGGTGAAACCCTGTCTCTACTACAAATACAAAAAATTAGTTGGGTGTTGTGGTGCGAACCTGTAATCCCAGCTGCTCCAAGGCTGAGGCAGAAGAATCGTTTGAACCTGGGATGTGGAGGTTGTAGTGAGCCAAGATCGCACTGCTGCACTCCAGCCTGGGTGACAGAGCAAGATTCTGTCTCAAAAAACAAAACAAAACAAAAAGAACAAACAATATAAATTAAATATAGGCTGGTCATGGTGACTCACACCTATAATCCCAGCGCTTTGGGAGGTGCATGAGGGAGGACTGTTTGAGCCCACGAGGCTGAGGCTGCAGTGAGCTGTGATTATGCCAGTGTACTGAAGCATGGGTGACAGAGCAAGACCCTGTCTTTAAAAGAAACAAAAAAAGGCCAGGCGCGGTGGCTCACCCCTGTAATCCCGGCTACTCAGGAGGCAGAGGTGGGAGGATCACTTGAGCTAAGGAGTTTGTGACCAGCCTGGACAACACAGTGAGGCCAGGTCTCTACAGAAGAATTACTTTAATTAGCCCGGTGTGGTGGTGTGTGCTTGTAATCCGGGCTTCTCAGGAGGCAGAGGTGGGAGGATCACTTGAGCCCAGGAGTTCGAGGCTGCAATGAGCTGAGATCGTACCATTACATTCCAGCGTAGATGACAAAGAGTGATATTCTGTCCCAGAAATAAATGCATAGGCTGCAATCACCAGACAGAGTGGCTGAAGCCACAGACATTTATTTTTCCATAATTCTTTAGGCTGGAAGTTTGACATCAAGGTGTCAGTTGATTTTTTTTTTTGTTTTTTGAGGCCTCTCTGCTTGGCTGACAGATGGCTGCCTTCTCTGTCCTCACATGGTATTCCCTCTGTGTGTAATCGACTCTGCTTCTGAGGACACCAGTAAATTAGATCAGGACCCACCTGTAGACTTTTGAAACTTAATTATCTCTCTCTTTTTTTTAAGATGGAGTCTGGCTTTGTTGTCCAGGCTGGAGTGCATGGCACGATCTCGGCTCACTGCAACCTCTACCTCCAGAGTTCAAGCGATTCTTGTGCCTCAGCCTCCCGAGTAGCTGGGACTGCAGGCACTTGCCACCACGCCTGGCTAAGTTTTGTATTTTTAGTAGAGACGAAGTTTTACCTTGTTGGCTAGGCTGGTCTCAAACTCCTGATCTCAAGCGATCTGTCTGCCTCGGTCTCCCAAAGTGCTGGGATTACAGGCGTGGGCCACCTCACCTGGCCGATTATTTTAACTTAATCATCTCTTCGAAGACCTTGTCTCAATCAGCTTGGTGCTAAAAAGTTTTTTAAATAGACCTTATCTCCTATTTTAGTCCTTTCAGGGTGCTGCAACAAATGCTATCAACTGGTGGCTTGTAAATAACACATTTATTTCTCACGGTCCTGGAGGTGGGAAAGTTCCATATCAAAATGCCGGCACATTCACTGTCTGGTAAGGGCCGGCTTCCAGGTCATAGATGGTGTCTTCTCTTGGTGTTCCCATGTGGTATAAGGAGCAAGGAGTTTCTTGGCGGCTTCCTGTGGAAAGGCACTAATCCCATTATGAGGGCCCCACCCTCATGACCTAATCACCTCCCAAGGGCCCCACTTCCTAATCTTGGCTCACTGCAACCTCCACCTCCTGGGTTCAAGTGATTCTCCTGCCTCAGCCTACCTAGTAGCTGGGATTACAGGTGCCTACCACCACCCCCAGCTAATTTTTATATTTTTAGTAAGATGGGATTTAACCATGTTGGCCAGGGTGGTCTTGAACTCCTGATCTTAGGTGATCCACCTGCCTCGGCCTCCCAAAGTGCTGGGATCACATGTGTGAGCCATTGGACCTGGCCAACAGTTTATTTTAAATGTATTTATTTATGTATGTTTTTGAAACAGGGTCTCGCTCTGTCATCTAGGCTGGAGTGCAGTGGTACAATCATAGCTCACTGTAGACTCGACCTCCTGGGCTCAAGTGATCCTCCCACCTCAGCCTCTTGAGTAGCTGGGACTACAGGCACTCATCACCACACTCAGCTAATTTTGTTTGTTTTGCGACGGAGTCTCCCTCTTTCACCTATGCTGGAGTGAAGTGGCCCAATATCGGCTCACTGAAGCCTCCCTCCCTGGGGTTTGAATGATTCTCCTGCCTCAGCCTCCTGAGTAGCTGGGATTACAGGTACCTGCCACCATGCCCAGCTAATTTTTGTATTTTTAGTAGTGACGGGGTTTCACCACATTGGCCAGGCTGATCTCGAACTGTTGACTTCAGGTGATTCACCTGCCTCGGCCTCCCAAAGTGCTGGGATTACAGGAGTAAGCCAATGCGCCTGGCCTGTGTTTTTTGTAGAAAAGATGTCTTACCCTGTTGCCCAGGTTGATCTGAAACTCCTGGGCTCAAGTGATCCTTCTGCCTCAGCCTCCCAAAGTGCTGAGATTACAGATGTGAGCCACCTCGCCAAGCCTGACAGTTTCTTATAAAAAACACCACTTAGCCTATAACACAACAATCCCATTGAGAGTGAAAAAAAAATTCACCTTCACACAAAAAAGTTTATAGCAGCTCTTTTTGTTTGTTTTTGGGTCATACCAAAAACTGGGAATGTCCCAAAGGTCCATCAGTTGATAAGTGGATGAACTACCTGGTTTATGCAAATGGTGGAACACTATGCAGCAGTGAAAAGGAGTGAGCATCTGCTACAGCAGTGTGGTTGAATCTCAAATGCATTTGCTAAATGAAAGAATCCAAATCCAAGAGGCTACATACTGTGTGCTCCCATTTGCAGGACTTTTTATCTTTAGAGATAGGGTATGGCTTTGTCACCCAGGCTGGAGTGCAGTGGCAGAAACATGGATCATTGCAGCCTCAAATTCCCAGGTTCAAGGGATCCTCCCACCCCAGCCTCCTGAGTGGCTGGGATTGCAGGTGCGTGCCACATACTCAGCTGTAGGTCATTTTAGAAAAGACACAATTTTGGGCCAGGTGCCATGGCTCACATCTGTAATCCCAGTACTTTGGGAGGCTGAGATGGGTGGATCATTTGAGGTGAGGAGCTTGAGGCCAGCCTGAAACCCTGCCTCTACTAAAAATACAAAAATTAGCCAACTGTGGTGTCAGGGGCCTGTAGTCCCAGCTACTTGGGAGCCTGAGGCAGGAGAATCACTCAAATCAGGGAGGCGGAGGTTGTGGTGAGCTGAGATTGTGCCACTGCACTCCAGCCTGGGCAAGACAGCCAGACTCTGTCTAAAAAAAAAAGGTTGGGGGGACAAAATTGTTTTAACTTAATCATCTCTTTAAAGACCTTATCTCAATCAGTTTGGTGCTAAAAAAATAAGAAAATAATAATAATTAAAAAAAAGACATTATCTCACTCTGTCACCAGGCTGGAGTGCAGTGGTGTGATCTTGGCTCACTGCAACCTCCACCTCCCAGGTTCAAACGATTCTTCTGCCTCAGCCTCCCGAGTAGCTGGGATTACAGCTGCCAGTCACAACTCCTGGCTAATTTTGTGTATTTTTAGTAGAGATGGGGTTTCACCATGTTGGTTGGCCAGGCTTGAACTCCTGACCTCGTGATCCACCCATCTCAGCCTCTCAAAGTGCTGGGATTACAGGCATGAGCCACTGAGCCCAGCCGACAAAATTTTAAGTATGGAAAACAGATCAGTAGCTGCCAGGAGCTGAGGTGGAAGGAGAGATTATCCACAAAAGGGACAGAGGAATTTTGGGAGGGAAGGGACTGTC